CCCCCCCCCCCCCCCATTTTGTGATTTCATGATCTTATATTTTCTCTTCAAATCTTCAGACCTGAAATAAGTAGCATCAATCAATTTCGAAATTTGTGGGTTTTGTTTTTGGTAAACAAATTATAAATGTCATTGATAGAGGTTTCCTTATGCCTTTAATCTGAATCTTCTCACTATCATTAGGAGTTCGATCCCACCACCATCAAGGAGACTCTCAACTGGGATGCTTCTGCAACCGTCCACACATAAAACTGGAAGACAAGCCCCAAATGCAGATGCCAAGAGAAGAGCGGCAAGTGGCAAGTGAGAAATACAGGTCATTTAGCAGGACCTTTTAAAGGGCGACAACTATGGTGATGTGATTTCATGTACAAAATTTTGGTTTTTTGTTTTATTTTACTTGTATGTATTACATGTATGTATATCCTGTGCAATCGTTGTTCATTTTTAGAAAAAGGGGACAAAGGAAGAAAGGTTATTGTTTCAAAGATACTGCTAAAATTCTGGTGGGTCGAAAATAACAGGTAGAGTGTCATGTAAAATTTATCACTTGCGTATAAAGTTGAGATCCATTTTCTAACCCAAAAGCTTAAGCTGATAGGTGGAGCTTCATTCTTCTATATATGCTAGTTGTATTTTTATTTACTTTTTGATGTGGAAACTCCAACACTCCGCCTCAAGTGGTAACTCGCCAACCTTTTTTTTGGAAAAAGTAACTAGCCTACCTAGTTAGCAGTTGCACAAACAGGTCTAGTTTCTCAATCTCTTATAGTTAGCCCATACAATGGGCAGTGGTATTTCAATATCTTATAGCCAACTCAACCCAAACCACAGAGGGGTAGCTCATTTTGCTAATCCCACGTCCAAAGAACTAGGAAGAATCAAATCCAGACCGAACCTGGCTTCAATACCTTGTGATTGATAATAAGAGGTTTTCCTCATTATACATAATTGCATACAGGGCCATCCCTGAGAACTCGATGGCCTGAGTCGAAACAGAAAGAGAGGCCCTAAGGGTCTTATTCCTAATGTCTTAACGAATTAAAGTGTATAAGCTAATTATATTTAAATAATAATTAACATAATAGTATAATACTACGTAACAAAATAATTAATCATCACATACAAAATTATTGTAAAAAGTTTATTTAAACTTACCTTCCCAAACCAATATCTTGAAAATTGGATCAGACGTCGACTCGGACGAGATAGTGGGTCGGGATTTAACCGGTCAATCCGAGGGTCAATAGCTCGGTTAACTATAATTCAAAAAATAGCTCTGGTTGGAGCCTCACTCTATACAATTGGGATATTTTATTTTTATATAAGAGTACGGAACTTGTATATATTTACTCGGGTATATAATATGAAAAAATTGGGTTTCTTAAAATATTGGGCTCGGTTCGGTTGGCCTGCTCGGCCCTCCCTTGGGTTAGCCCTGATTACATAATACAAATGACTATATGTACATAAGAAGGGTGATAATATAAGGAAACTAAATCTTCCGTATTAATGCAACCACCCATATTAATGGCCAAATCAAAGCATGTCACATTCTCAGAACTTAACTAAAATACTAATATTATTACCAATAACAGATACTAATTACTAATAGAAGCTAAATAAGGTGTATGAAAAAACAAAAAAAACTTAGTAAAATTTCACAAAAAGTAGGGTTTGCAGGTGCACAGACCCTACTCCCACTCAAAAGTAGAAAGATTGTTTGTAAAAGACCCCCAACTCCAACACAATCAAAGTAAACCCACAAAAAAGATACAAAAGTGTAAATGAGTGGCTAACACTAAAGGAGGTGAATAATGTGGCACGGAAATGTTAATAAAATAATGTGAAATTCAAAATTGCAGGAGTGTGTAAAGTAAAATGACAAAGAACACAAGAAGTTTTATACAAGTCCACCACAACTTGTGGCTAGTTTAGTCCCCAAGAAACTATTTCAAGATTCTGCTAGCTCACTTGGCTTACCGGTTCTCAACAATCTGTTACAAGAGCTTGTAGATGTACTCCTTACAATACTTCACACCTCTTAGACTCTTTGCTCAATACTTCAATCACTATGACTAAGGTCATGCTCTCTTCACCTGATCTGATTAAAATAAGTTTTGATTTGATCTGAGTGTAGTTACTTTAAAGCTGTTTATGATCTGATTTATTATTATCTCATCTCATCTATTTCCAATAAAAAAAAGTGATAAGGAATAAGAATAAGTTGAAGAGAACATTTTCTAAGAATTCATAGTAAATCAGAACACTCAACGAGAAAAGATGATCTTCTCAAGCCAATTTTTTGCAATATAACTCTCACTAGAGTAGAAAGAAGAAATAAAATATTAGCACTATGAGTCTATGACCATCACACAACAATGATCAACTTTTGCTAAAAAAAGCTCAAAGAGACGACAGTCTTTGAGAAAACATTGGGGTTAATTGGCTTATTAGAGATATTAGAAATAAAAAATTATTATTAGTTATTACTTTCGTTATTCTATTACCTCTATAATTATTATTCTACTATATTTAGGATTCTCTCTTGTATACCCTATATATAGAAAAGAAACCTTTATTATTTAATAAGATTAATTATTATCAAATTGTATCATGATATTAGAGCAAAGCTTTCTCGGTAACGCCCTAAAAATCGGCTTAGTAGTTAGCCATTATTTTGATAAAAATGAATACAATATTTTCTTTCATTTCCTAAAAAAATTTGTAAAGTCAATTTTTTTATTTAAAATTTAACTCATTGGGTAGATCTCGTAAAAAAATAACAACGATACATAGTTTGTTAAGTTTGGGCTTGGATGTAATAAGTTATGACCGAAATAGATGTTATAGTATAATAGATAAAAGAATTGATTTTAGAATATAATAATAACTACTAATAATAAAATGATACTGTAATATATTAAAATATATTCCTAAGTCTACCCCATACGCAAGAAGGAAACCCCGCCCATTTCATATATATATATATATATATATATATATATATATATATATATATATATATATATATATATATATATATATATATATATATATATATACATGCCTATGATTCCAGAAAAAGAAACAAATACGGAGGATATTTTCTTACGGAGTACGAATGCGAGAAGAAGAACGTACGGTAGCTGCGAAAGAGCCGTTATCCGCTTCCATTCGTCCCACCGCTGGTCAGTCGCCATCCTTGTCACCGGGAAACTAATCGCCGCCACCATTCGTGTAGTTGTGAACCTAGAAACGTTGTCACTTTGTCGCCATCATCTTCG